ATGGATCCTGGGCTCAGGAAGGGCTGGGGAAAGGGGCTGGGCTCAGGAAGGGCTGGGGAAAGGGGCCACGTGGAGAGCTGGGGCTGGCAGAGGTTTGCTGTGGTTCCCCTCGAGCTCAGTTGGATAAATAGAAACCAAACAGATAATTTAAATTATTATTTAAATTTAAATATGACTCCCTCAGTCACTGTTACCCCAGCAAATACAGGGATTTGATCTATTTGATGTTCAACATCAAGAAATAAAAACCCATAAATCTGGCTTCATGATGCACTTTTAGAGACAGTTTAGATCATCACTAGAATATTTCTTAGCTCAAATATCTATTAGCAAATATTTTTTTTAGATTCTTTTCCTCCAAAGGAATTTCTAGTTAGTTTTCTATTTTTTTTTTCCTCCTGTATGCCTGTTTGTTTTATTTCTTTGTTTAATTCCACTTGCCTTTTGCTTCCTGGGTAACAGCTCTTGTGTGAGGAGGAACTAAAGAATCCTTTGGGGTTGAGAGTGAAATTTAGCCTTGGATAGTTTGGTTGCCTGTCTGCCCAGGTGAATGTAAATTCTACATAAATGAGGATTCCTTAATATATAAAAAAACTGGTGTACAATCCCCCTGGGATGCCTGAAATGTGATACAGCCCAGAACTTGGAATTTATATGTAAAGGTCATTTTAGCAACCATATTTGCTTAATATAAGGTGCAGTATTAACACGGATTGTTGACATTAATATTTACCTAAAATTACAATTCACTGCTTTGCCAGTTGCTCTCAGGGCACAAAACCCCCTTGGATTATTCTAGAATAAAAAAATAGGTGCTGGAAGTGTGCAAGGTAAATTCCCTTGTTGTTCTCATTAATTTGTTGGGTCTTCAGCTCGGTGTTTAGTAATCAGAGGGACAGTTTGGGGCCCTGGCTGCTGTTAATGGAGCTGAGTGCAGAATCCCTTTTGACAAGTGCCATTCCCCAGGGCCTGCCTGGGATAAATCAGAGTTTGCAGCACCAGCAGGGCCCTGGCTCCAGCCAGGAGCTGCCTTTGGGGAATCCTGGAATGCTGGGGTTTCATGGAATCTCAGGTGGTTGGGCTCTGATAACGCAGGGCCACCCCAGCCATGGCAGGGACACCCTGACTGTCCCCAGGGTCACCCCCACTGTCCCCAGGGTCACCTCTCACTGTCCCAGGGTCACCCCCACTGTCCCAGGGTCACCCCCACTGTCCCCAGGGTCACCTCCCACTGTCCCCAGGGTCACCCCCACTGTCCCAGGCTGCTCCAGCCCCAATGTCCAGCCTGGCCTTGGGCACTGCCAGGGATCCAGGGACAGCCAGAGCTGCTCTGGCAATTCCAGCCCAGCCCCTTCCCACCCTCCCAGGGAACAATTCCTGCCCAAGATCCCACCCCAATCTCCCCTTTTCCAATCTCAAGCCATTCCCTGGGTCCTGTCCCTGCAGGCCTTGTCCCCAGTCCCTCTCCAGCTCTCCTGGAGCCCCTGCAGGCCCTGGCAGTGGGAATCCAGCTGTGCCTTGGGTTTGCAGTGGGAATCCAGCTGTGCCTGGGGGGTGTGCAGTGGGAATCCAGCTGTGCCTCGGGTGTGCAGTGGGAATCCAGCTGTGCCTTGCTTTATGCCATGTTTCCAGCCCAGAGCTCTCTGAGCTCTGAGCACTGAGCTCTCCCAGGCTCAGGAATTGCAGCCATCCCGTGTTTCTGCCCCAGTTCCTGGCGTGGCTGCAGTGAATCCTGCCCAGGACTCGCTCCCAGCGGGCAGGCAGGGAACGGTTCCGCAGCCAGGGGAGAGGCTGGAGCTGCAGTGTGTGACAGTGACACACATTCCTGGGTTAGTGTGTGGAAATTGCTCTTCCTGAATGAGATTTCCGTTCCTCCTGAGTGTATCCACACGAAGGGAGGGATGTTCTTGTGTAAGCCCTTAGGAGCAGCGTGGTGTCCAGAGCCTTCCTTTTGTGAATGGGGTTCCAGAGCAAGTGTGAGCAGGAGGGAGCAGTTCTGTCACCCTCAGGAAGGCAGCAGCTCGCTCCTGTGAGGATGGATGTGCACTCTGCATCCCTTTCCAGAGGCACAGCCTGCCTGGGACGGGCTGGAACAGCCTTGGGATGCTCCTGGCTGGGAGCAGCAGGAGTGGGGTTTGCTTGGATCACTTCCAGAGTGACGACTGGGACTCCAGCTGCCCTCTCCTCCTGTGATTCCTGGAGTTTGTGAGCTCTCCCCTCCCTCCAAGGCTGTCACGCTGGATCTGGGTGTCAGGGCATGGATTGATCCTGGCGTTGTCTTCTGGATTTCTCTCAAATCCCTGCCTCAGCGGTGAGCCGCATTTTCTGCTCATCAAATCTCATCGGCGTCACTGGGGACAGCTCCTGACTCCCTGGAGTTTCTGGTGTTTGCACCATCCTGGCTCTGCTCTCTGCTCCTCAGAGCTCAGGGGTCTTTACCAGGAGCAGATCCTGATGAGGTGGAAGATCAGCTCCGTTGTTTCATTGCCATTCCAGAGGAATCCCTGACTTTTGGAATGCAGAGGTGTTGGGAGTCTTTGCCTTTGTGTTCTGCTGGTTCAGACACTTTGTTCTTCCTGGAAGGAAAACAAAGGAGCCCTGTGATATTTGTGTGCAGCGAGGTGAAAATGTGTCGCTGTTTAACATTACAGGCTGAGAAATGGGAAAAATATCTTTTGGGTGCAGCCTTTGAAAATCAAATAAATGGATCCAGTGATCAATGGAGGTAAAGGAAGTGTGTGACTGAGAGAAAGAGCTGAGAATTGCTGTTTATGGACACTTTGAGCACAGTGACCAAAATCAGGCACAAAGACCTGATTTAGAAAATGCTTTCATCCCTATTTGTTAGGATTCTTGAAAGAGAAATGTGAAAATACCTGTGAATGAATAATTTCTTCATTTCCTCACCTCTGACAGCTGCTAGAGAAGGCAGTTTTTATTTCTGCTTTTTGTGGTGGCTGGGGTGGGGGATATTTGGGAAGGGGATGGAGGCGGCCTGTTCCTCCTGTGTGACATTGTCCTGTTGGAGCCACCGAGTTCCCAAAGCCTTCTCTTTTCCAGGCTGAACAATCCCAATTCCTCTGCTGCCAGGAAATTGGGGAATTGGGGTTGTTCAGCCTGGAAAAGAGAAGGCTTTGGGGAGATCTCATTGTGGCCTGCAGGGGAAGAAGGAGACAAGAGCCTGGGCTGGCAGGAGGAGATGGCTTCAAACTGACAGAGAATGGCTTTAAATTTGATGTATGGGAGAAATTATTCTCTGGGAGGGTGGGGAGAGGCTGGGATAGAATTCCCAGAGCAGCTGTGGCTCTCCTGGATCCCTGGCAGTGCCCAAGGCCAGGCTGGCCAGGGCTCGGAGCCACCTGGGACAGTGGCAGGGGTGGCACTGCAGGAGCTTTGATGTCCCTTCCAGCCCAAAGCATTCCATGATTCCAGGTCACATACATGCACCACTTCAAATCCTTCTGGATTTCGCTGGGAGTGCGGTGGTTGGATCTTTGTGTCAGCTTTGTTTTGAGGAGATGGGAGCAGGAGGAGCTCAGCTGCCAGCCAGGGGGATGGTTTGTTTTGGGGAAGCTGCTGGACACACTGGGAGCAGCCTTTGCAGTGGCTTTTGTGGTTTGCTGGGACATCACTTGAGCAGCGATGAGTTCACGTCACCTTCTGAACCTCTCCGTACAACTTCTGATGTCTGATGGAAATAATCATTTGCTCTCTGCCAGCTTGTGTGGTTTGGCACATCTGGGGCTTGCAGCGCTTTCCATGAGTTGAGCTGCACGGAAGAATTTGGTGCCAGTGCCGTTTGTGAGGCAGCTGCAGAGCAGGGATGGAGCTGGCAGGGGAGGAGAGGCTCTGGGCTGCGCTTTTGGGAAGGGTTTTCACTCTGTGTCGGTGCCCACGTGACAAATGTCACTGCTAAAGGTGGCAGGGCTGAGGCAGAGCTGCAGATAACCGAGCTGAGACACGGCCACAGGAGATACCTGACTTTAAAACTGGGATTCTGACCCCTGAGGATTTACTAATTATGTAAATATCTATTAAATAATGCAGTAATACACCACTAATCTTGTGGTGTAATTTTGTAAGGTGTGATGGCCACAGAATAGAAGAATTCAGATTGGAGGGGACTCCTGGAGGTGAACGTGGTGCTGATTCTTAGTTGAGATCTCCAGAATATTGTCTTAGAGTAGGAATGAAGCACTCACAAGGTCTGGGTCCTGCTGGAGGCGGTGCTGCAGGGTCAGAAATCAGGGTTAGGGTCAGTGATGGGGTCTCACAGGTGGGCCATGAGCATCTAAACAAGATTTGGGATTTTTTTTGGTCTTGTAACTCACCCAGCAGAGCTCCAGGAGCCTTTGGATACCGCTCCAGGGATGCCCAGGCTGGGGCTGTTGACAGGACTGGAGTTTGCCTGGATGATCCTTATGGATCCATTTAACTCAGGACACTCTATGCTTCTACCAACTTATTTATCCAATAGTTTCAAGTTTACTTTATTTTTCTGCTCTAAATAACTCAATTTTCATCAAATCAAACCACTGTGGTTTTCTCCTTTGTGTCAGTGTAACCTGAATGTAAATTTTCCAGGTTTATACAGGAGATTTTCCTTGATTCCCACCTGGAATGATGCTGGCTCCTCATGCCTTGACTCCCTCACCTGAAACCACTGTGAAATACGAGCAGAGACAGTTGTTGGGCTTTGTGTGTCTTTAAAGTAATTGCTGGTTGTTCCTTTCTTGTGCTTGTATAAATCTAGCACACATAAATAAATCTGTGTTTAATAATCCACGTGTGGCTATAATAATGGAAGTATATAAATGTTATAACTGCTGGGAGTGTTAAAGGTAAGGCTTGCTCTGGAGCTCCATAACCTCGTTACAGGCTCTCATGTGGAATGTAGCTCTCAGTCTGGAGCAGAAAAATGGCTGTAAACTCTGATTATAATAAAAATAACAGCAAATAAAAGCATTTCCTCACGGCCTTTTCTCCCCATCTGTGAATAGGTGCGTTCCATGGACGAGCTGAATCACGATTTCCAGGCGCTGGCTCTGGAGGGACGGGCTATGGGAGAGGTAAGTGAGAGGCCTGGAGGAAAAAAATCCCTCTTTTGGGTGGGGGAGGAAAGGAAATTGCAGTTTTTTGGGGCTGCTGGGACGGTTGTGATGCTGAGGGTTCTCTGTTGTGGCTGTGAGCTGTGTCTGTGTGTGTGTGGTGTGTGTGTGGTTGATCCAACCCCAAACCTGCCAGGCTGGAATCAGGCATGGAGGGAGGAGCAGCTGGAGCTCCACTGTTGGCTCATCCAGCAGTGAACTCAAAACCCAGCTGGGGACAGTGTCCCAGTCCTTGGAGCAGGTTTATTTTGGGATTCACTGAGCTCAGACCCCGTTGTGCTCTGGGGCATTGGCTGCTGGCCTCTTTGCAGCCCTGGCCACCTTTTCCTGCCTCACACAAAGGCCAGGGCTGTGTTTAAGGTTTGGAGGAGCTGATGCCTGTGGTGTATTCCCAAAAATTCCTGGTTCAATGGCAGCTGGGGAGTGCTGGCAGTTGGGAATAACGTTGGGGTTGAGTTTTGCAGTTTCCTCAGTGCTGGCAGCTTTGGAAATGGAAACAGTGGGGCTGGGATGGGAGCAGTGGGGCTGGGATGGAGATGGGAGCAGCAGGAGGACCAGGGATGGAGATGGGAGCAGGAGGACCAGGGATGGAGATGGGAGCAGGAGGACCAGGGATGGAGATGGGAGCAGGAGGACCAGGGATGGAGATGGGAACAGGAGGACCAGGGATGGAGATGGAAGCAGGGGGACCAGGGATGGAGATGGGAGCAGGAGGACCAAGGATGGAGATGGGAGCAGTGGGGCAGGGATGGAGATGGGAGCAGGAGGACCAGGGATGGAGATGGGAGCAGTGGGGCAGGGATGGAGATGGGAGCAGGAGGACCAGGGATGGAGATGGGAGCAGGAGGACCAGGGATGGAGATGGGAGCAGTGGGGCAGGGATGGAGATGGGAGCAGTGGGGCTGGAGATGGGAACAGGAGGACCAGGGATGGAGATGGGAGCAGTGGGGCTGGAGATGGGAACAGGAGGACCAGGGATGGAGATGGGAGCAGGATGGAGATGGCAGCAGGATGGAGATGGCAGCAGTGGGTCAGGACGGAGATGGGAACAGGAGGACCAGGGATGGAGACAGGAGCAGGAGGACCAGGGATGGAGATGGGAACAGGAGGACCAGGGGTGGAGATGGAAGCAGGAGGACCAGGGATGGAGATGGGAACAGGAGGACCAGGGATGGAGATGGGAGCAGGAGGACCAGGGATGGAGATGGGAGCAGGAGGACCAGGGATGGAGATGGGAGCAGGAGGACCAGGGATGGACAGATGGAGATGGGAGCAGGAGGACCAGGGATGGACACTGACAGCTTTGTAGAGCAGGACCTGCAAACACCCCTCAGTAGCTGCTGTGCCTGCCCTGCCTGTTGCTGCAGACAAACACAGATCTCCACTGCACACATGGCTGCTTTTGTATTAATATTTGCCTTGTCTGAGGGGGATCAGTTTTCTTAATTTGTCTAATTCATAATCCCATCTCAGTGGGATCTCTGTGCCCTGGCTGCTGAAGAATTGCTTTTGTTGATGATGGGTAAATCCTCCCCTCCTCCCTGCTCTGCTAAATTGAATATTGGCCTAACTGGTAAGTCCTTTGTAAGAGGGCTTAGCAGGATTATTTTCATTCTGGATAGGGTCAATTTTAATAAAAACCAGGGAATGAATAAACGACTCTCATTCTGAACCTCGTTCCTTTGAAATATCCAACCTGCAGAACTGCATGAGAGTCACTTAAAATACCTTTTCTTTTTTCTTCCATTGCAACTGACAACTTTCCCCGAGGAAAAATTCATGGTGTGGCAGCCTGTTGCATAATTCAGTGCAGCTGATTGCTGCTTGCTAAGTTCTGTGATGGTTGGAGCAGCCCTTGACAGAACAAAGCCCCCCTTTAGCATCTGCTCGTCTTGGCTTTTGGGTTTCCCTGATATCTGTAAATAGATCTGGAGTCTCCCTGTGAGGTGAACAACTCTCTTCTCTTTGTTTCTGCTGAGGGTACACAACTTGCAGCTGGAAACTTGGAGCTTCTGCTGGGGACAGAGTAAACTGGAGAGGGAGGAGTAAACTGGAGAGGGAGGAGTAAACTGGAGAGGGAGGAGTAAACTGGAGTGGGAGGAGTAAACTGGAGAGGGAGGAGTAAACTGGAGAGGGAGGAGTAAACTGGAGTGGGAGGAGTAAACTGGAGTGGGAGGAGTAAACTGGAGAGGACAGAGTAAACTGGAGTAGGACAGTGTAGTTTGTGTCCTGCACTGGGAGGTGCTGTCAGGGGAAATGATCAGGTTATCAGGGATTGATCAGCTCATCAGGGATTGATCAGCTCATCAGGGATTGATCACCAAATCAGGGATTGATAGCGAATGGGGATTGATCAGCTTATCAGGGATTGATCAGCTTATCAGGGATTGATCAGCTTATCAGGGTATTGATACCAAATCAGGGATTGATCAGCTTATCAGGGATTGATCAGCTTATCAGGGGATTGATCAGCTTATCAGGGGATTGATCAGTTTATCAGGGTATCGATACCAAATGGGGGATTGGTCAGCTTATCAGGGATTGATCAGCTTATCAGGGGATCGATACCAAATGGGGGATTGATCAGCTTATCAGGGTATTGATACCAAATCAGGGTATTGATCAGGTTATCAGGACATTGAACTTGATACCAAATCAGTGTGTTAAAGTGGTTATCAGGATATTGAATTTGTTATCAAATCAAGGTGTTGGAGTTATCAGGATATTGATACCAAATCAAGGCATTGATCAGATTATCAGGACATTGAATTTGATTCCAAATCAGGGTGTTGGAGTTATCAGGATATTGAATTTGATAACCTGATCAAAGGTATTGATCAGGTTATCAGGGTATTGAATTTGATACCAAATCAAGGTATTGATCAGGTTCTCAGGATATTGAATTTGATACCAAATCAAGGTATTGATCAGGTTCTCAGGATATTGAAACCAATCAGGAATTACCACACTCCTGATGCAGAGGAGAGATCCCATATCTGATGATTCCTGTTTGATCCATGGTAATTTCAGGCATATTCAGGTTCTTTTCATCTTCAGTTCCCTGAGTTTTATCCCAGCTTGAGGCAAGGCTCATTTCATGGTTAATTTGCTGTGAATGTGCTGCTGTTCCCCCTGGGAATTCCATCCATCCTATCCAGAGGATTCACTGGGATATTGTCCCCATGCCAGCTCAGGAATTCCTGGCTGGAGGTGATCCCTGGTGAATCCCAAAATCCCTGAAGAATGGGAATTGTTCTCTCTGTCCTCCAGAGCTGGGACCCTGGGCTGTCCCAGCCCTGGGATGGCTCCGTTCCCTGGGACCTTTTCCCATTCCCAAGGACCTTTTCCCATTCCCAGGGACCTTTTCCTGTTCCCTGGGGACCTTTTCCCATTCCCAGGGACCTTTTCCCATTCCCAGGGACCTTTTCCCATTCCCAGGGACCTTTTCCCATTCCCAGAGACCTTTTCCCATTCCCAGGGACCTTTTTTTTCCCATTCCCTGGGACCTTTTCCTGTTCCCAGGGACCTTTTCCCATTCCCAAGGACCTTTTCCCATTCCCAAGGACCTTTTCCTGTTCCCAGGGACCTTTTCCCATTCCCAGGGACCTTTTCCCATTCCCAAGGACCTTTTCCTGTTCCCAGGGACCTTTTCCCATTCCCAGGGACCTTTTCCCATTCCCAGGGACCTTTTCCCATTCCCAGGGACCTTTTCCCATTCCCAGCTCCCCAGCCTCCTCAGCAGGAGGGAGAAATGAGAATTCCCGAGCTTTCCCATCCCAGTTTTCCCGTCCCTGCAGCAGCAGCAGCAGCTCCCATGGGGAGGCAGGAGTTTGTGCTCCCAGGTGAGCTCAGGAAAAGGTTTGGATCCCAAATTTTTCCCCCCTCCTGGATTTTTCCCTGTGATTGGAGAGGCTGGAGAGTGTTGGTGTGAGAGTGCCTGAGGTGTGGGGGGCTCCTGGAGCGGGGAGGAAAAGCAGGAATGGGGAGAGATGGAATTATTCCCTCAGCTTTCACCTCAGAGATACCAAAATTGGGGTTATATCACTTGTATTTAATGATTGGTACCTGATAGAGGGGAGATGCTTACGGTTTATGTTTGCATTTTAGACTTATTTTAATCATGCTTTGCTTTGTTTTGTTCTTTTTTTGTTTTGTTTCGTTATTTTGTTGTTGTTTTGTTTTAATTGCAGCAGCTGTTGCCGGGTAAAAAGTTTTGGGAATCTGATGATTCCAGCAAAGATGGACCAAAAGGGATATTTCTGGGAGATCAGTGGAGAGACAGTGCTTGGGGAACATCAGGTAGCTCCATTATTTCCTTGATTTAGTGGGGGTTGAATGCAGAAATGTGAATTTTTTTATACCCAAAGTGGCTGGCCAAGGCTGGATGGCAGAGCTTTGAAAAGATGTCAAAACACATCTGGTTTATATAATAAAAAACAAATAGGAAACCTCACATTGCTTTGTGATAAAATTAATATATCTGTGGATGTCAGAACATTGTCAAATGTGAATATGTGTAAATTCGTGTTTATCTGCTTAAAAAAAATCTTAATTTGTCCTTAAAATCTCAATTTCTGATGTGTTTTCTGCCCTGGGATGGATCAGCTGAAAGTTTGAACAAAGATAATGGAGAACAAGATGAATAATAATAAAAAAAAAAATCTCTTCATTTTTATAAATACTAAACCAACCAACCCAGACCCAGCATTCAGTTAAAATAAATAAATAAAATGATGTTTTGAATTAATGTTATGTCTGCCAAGGATTTTGTTCTTGCATCACAGGCTGTCCTTGATTTTGAAATTGAGAGCAACATTCAGTTTAAAAAGGAAAAAAATAAATAAAAATAAAAAGGAAATTTGTCTGCCAAGGATTTTGTTCTTGGTTCTCCCTGATTTTGAACTTTGGGAGAGAATATTCAGGTTTTAGGAAAACAAACCTGCAAGTGCTGGGTTTGAAATGCTGATCTTTGATTTGTTCTTTTTGTGGTTTTTGGAACCTGAAACACTGCTGGGTATGTGGTGCAGCTCCCAAAAATGGGATGTAGAGATCCCAGGAAATAAATGGGGTGTACAGGTCCAGAAATGGGGTGTACAGCTCCAGAAATGGGATGTACAGCTCCAGAAATGGGATGTACAGCTCCAGAAATGGGGTGTACAGGTCCAGAAATGGGGTGTACAGATCCAGAAATGGGGTGTACAGCTCCAGAAATGGGATGTAGAGATCCCAGGAAATAAATGGGGTGTACAGCTCCAGAAATGGGATGTACAGGTCCAGAAATGGGATGTACAGCTCCAGGAAATAAATGGGGTGTACAGCTCCAGAAATGGGATGTACAGCTCCAGGAAATAAATGGGATGTACAGATCCAGAAATGGGGTGTACAGCTCCAGAAATGGGATGTACAGCTCTAGGAAATAAATGGGATGTACAGCTCCAGAAATGGGATGTAGAGATCCCAGGAAATAAATGGGATGTACAGCTCCAGAAATGGGATGTACAGCTCCAGAAATGGGATTTACAGCTCCCAGGAAATGGGATTTACAGCTCCCAGGATATACCTCACTCTGGGATAGGCTTTTCCCTGATAAAAATGGGTGTTTTCATTTGCTGTAGTATTTAAAAAAAGAGAAATCCATCCTGATTTTACTGATGGCCATCAGCAGAGTCACAGCGCTGCCACTTCTCCGTGCAGATAAACCCCCAGGGAATGATTATACAGAAATACGGAACGATTTCCTTTGCTCCTTTGAATATTTGGATGTTCTTTGAGGATGTCCCGTGTTTTTGTTGCAGATCACTCTGTTTCCCAGCCCATCATGGTTCAGAGAAGACCTGGGCAGGGTTTCCACGTGAACAGCGAGGTGAACTCGGTGCTGTCGCCGCGCTCCGAGAGCGGAGGGCTGGGGGTGAGCATGGTGGAGTACGTGCTGAGCTCATCTCCTGGAGACTCCTGCCTAAGGAAAGGAGGATTTGTAAGTGCCTCATCCCCACATTCCTGGGCTTTTCTCCCTTTGCTGCTTGCCTGGGAGTTAATCCCAGGGCTGGGTGTGTGACTCGATCTTCTCGAGTGGCCCGGCTGGCTCAGGGATGAGGTTTCTCTTCACTCGGGTTCCAGCCAGCAGATGTTGGTGGGGTTCACTGATTTTCTCCAGGAATTCAGGTCTGTGGAGCGAGTAAAGGAATCAGGGGGGGACTCTCTCTCTCTCTCTGGTTTGCATTCCACAGTTTATTTCTGTGAAGGGGAATCCAAAGGACGAGAGACCAAGGATTTGGGGTCTGGGGGTCTCTTTTAACAGGGATTTTTGGAGGGAGGGAACATCAGAGAGAGAACCAATTATTTTTCTCAGTTAGTGCATCTTACAAACTTTCTACAAATCAAGGTTAGCCACACCAAGAGAAGAAATAACAGACACCAACTTCTTCAAATGCCCACAAAGGTGTAGGAGTGTTCTCCACAGAGGGGCAGAGAGGGGTGAGGCTGCTTTCCTGGCAGCACAGGGGGGAAGGGAAGGGAAGGGAAGGGCAGCAAATCCTCTCAGCTTCCATAGCTCAGAGACGTTCTGGGACAGGGAAAACAGAGTTACAAACTCCTGGGTTGGAAAGAAGGGTCTCCTGGGCCAAAGAAAGTTCCAGCAGCTGGAAATGCCAGCAGGGTCCTCTCTTCACTCCATGCGTGGGGCTGAGGAGAGAAACTTCAGTGACCATGGGAACCTGACACCAGGTAAACAGGAGAAAGAGAAGCTGGGGGAAATCACAACTAAAAGATGGGAAAAGATACATTTCAGGCTATCAGCTCCAACATAGGTTTCTTTCTTTGCCCTCGAACAGGGCAGGTTCAGTTCTTGCCCTGGGGATGTGGGATGGGAGATGGGAAGGTGCTGGTGTTCTCTGGATCCGTGGAAAAGCCCCCCAGCAGAAACACCCCATCCAAGCTAATCCTTGGAAGAGATTCCACGAACCTCCAGTGAGCTTGTGGTGCTGCCTCAGAGCAGAAATTCCATGTGATGGTCCCAGGAAATGGGATCCCAGCTCCAAACCCAGCCTTTCCCTGGTGAAAACTGTCCCGGCACAATGTTTGTCCTTGTCCCGTCGGTTTTCCTTTTGGGATAAACACCCCCCCAAGCCCCAGGAATAAATGCACTGCTCTCACACAGCCTTCCCTGGAATTCCTGCCTGCTGGATGGATGTTTTCCAGCTGGGAATCCTGCCCAGGCAGGAATGCAGGGGGAAAAGGCAGCACCGCTGTGTTTTGTGGGGTGGGAAGGAGACGTGGGGAGAGGTGGAATCAAACCCAGCCCTGCCGAGGGGAAAGAGCTGCAGAAATGGGGGAAAAGCACCCTGAGGATGAATCCTTTGGAGCTTCCCTCACCCTCCTAGGACTGCTGCCCTCAGGAGGGGATTTGGGCACATCAGGGAGCCAGGTGATCCCAGCTGGGATCTGACCCTCAGCACACCAGGGTGACAGAGGTGACACAGCTGTCACCCCCTGCTTTGGGGCAAAATCTCTCCCAGGCTGCGTTCACAGCTGGCATTTCCAAGTAATATTAAGGAAGCAGAGTTTTATTTTCTGTCAGGAGAAACACCAAAAAGATTTTTGCTTTCACAACAATTTTTTTTTCTCTAAATATAAGGGAGAAACCCCTTTCTCCAGCCAGAGAGAGTGAGAAGAGGTTCAGTGGGTGGAAATGTGTGCAGGGCACCTCTCCCTGCAGTCAGGTGGAAGGCAGGGTTTGGGTGTCTGTCCCTGTGACAGCACCTCTGATAAATATGTTTATATGCCCCTTGCTGGTTTTTATCATGAATTATGTTGTTTTTCCTCTCCTTTTTGTTGTTCAAAACACTGCCCCAGGCATCAACACCCTTTATTCTCCTCCCAAGTGAAATAAAGAGCTGCAGATGTAACACACACCACTCATGAAATGCTCAACAGAACAGAAATCCTTTTTTTTTTCCCTTGTTTTTTTTTTTCCCCTCTTTTCTCCCAAAGAAATGTGCTTCAGGATCACAGGAGCCAGTGGCTGAGGCAGAGATTTATTTGAGTGGTTTTAAATGAGCTGTGCCTTGGAATTCACTGCTGATGTCCCCAAAACTGAGGTGATTTTCAAGCACGGTGTCTCTGACACCGAGCCAGGCACTCGAGAGAAGCACAAATTCACTTGATGCCCCTGCAGCATTTGCTGCTGTTGAATTTGAAGTGCTGAAGTCTCATCTAGAAGGAGAATTCCTTAAAATTATTTTGGGATGGGGTTTTGGAGCCCATGAAAACAAACCTTGAGTTACTAAATAGAAGAAACCTGAATAGATGAAACCCCTCTTAGAGGAGTGAGATCTAATTCCCTTATTTCTTTGATTATCATTGAATATTTTGCATTTTTACCTACTTTTTTTGGCAGGAATTAATGTTTTCAAGTGACTTCCTTTATTGTGCCATCTTTGATTTGTTGCCATCTCGGGGTAACAGGAGAATTGATCTGAAAACTCAGCTGATTAAAACAATGTCTCTTTTGCCCAGGGGCCAAGGGATGCAGAGAGTGACGAGAATGACAAAGGGGACAAGAAGAGCAAGGGCACGTTTGATGGAGATAAACTGGGAGATCTGAAGGAGGAGGGGGATGTGATGGATAAATCCAATGGTTTGCCTGTCCAGAACGGGATCGACGCCGACGTCAAAGACTTCAGGTGTGTGCGTTGGTGGCTGTTAATTAATCAGTTAATAATTAATCAGGGTTGGGGTTTAACCCCAGCCAGCAGCTGAGCCCCTGCAGGCTCCCACTGCATCCCCTGCAGTGCCATGGGACAGAATCCAGAGGGATTCTCTGGGATGCTGTTCCAGCCCTGAGCAGAGCCCGGAGAGGGGCTGGAGGCTTCTCCCTGGGATATTCCCGAGCCACACGGACACAGCCCCGTGCCCTGTGCCCTGGGCTGGCCCTGCTGGAGCAGGGGGTGGCACCTGTGACCCTCTGGGGTCCTCCCAGCCTGACCCTGACTGGGATTGTGTGACAGGGATTGGTGAAGAGCAAACACCATCACTCCAAACACCCTCTCCTTCCCTCTTCATCAGCTCTGCTCGCTCTGTGGGCTGGGACATCACAGAATCCCAGACTGGGCTGGGCTGGGAAGGATCCTAAATCCCATCCAGAGCCACCCAGCCATGGCAGGGACACTTCCACTGTCCCCAGGGTCACCTCCCAATGTCCCCAGGGCTGTCCCAGGGTCACCCCCACTGTCCCCAGGGTCACCCCCACTGTCCCAGGCTGCTCCAGCCCCAATGTCCAGCCTGGCCTTGGGCACTGCCAGGGATCCAGGGACAGCCACAGCTGCTCTGGGCACCTCTGCCAGGACCTATTTCCGTGTAGAATTAACTCAGGGAACTGCTCCAGACCCTGTTTTTATGTTTCCCTGTTGTACTCCAGCACCTCCAGGCAGCTCTGGAGGGTGAGATGCTGGCCTGGAGCGTTCCTGCCCCTTTTCCCGACGCGTTTTTCCCTCCCCGCGCAGCCGCACGCCCGGGAACTGCCAGAACTCGGCCAGCGAGGTGGATCTGCTGGGCCCCAACCAGAACGGCTCCGAGGGGCTGGCCCAGCTGGCCAGCACCAACGGGGCCAAGCCCGTGGAGGATTTCTCCAACATGGAATCCCAGAGCGTGCCCCTGGACCCCATGGAGCACGTGGGCATGGAGCCGCTGCAGTTCGATTACTCCGGCACTCAGGTCCCCGTGGACTCGGCTGCTGCCACCGTGGGGCTCTTTGACTACAATTCCCAGCAGCAGGTGAGGAGCTGCTCCCTGACCCATCCCCGGGTCCGGAGGAATCGGGGTGGGCTGGGCTGAGCTTGGGATCCCATCCTGGGAAAAGGGATGGAGGAAGATTGGGGGCGGTGTCAGTGGCTCGGTGCTGTGTGTGTCCTCCCTGGGAACTGGAAAAATCAGAATTCCCGCAGCAATTCCCGGAGCATCCACCAAGATCTCCGCTGGTCCCGGGGGTCTCCAGGAGCTGGCATTGAAAAACAGCCTTAAAGTAGGAAAAAGTGAGAAAACAAACCCCAAACCCCCACCCTGGAGCCCAGGAAGTGACTGAGAGCCAACACCTGCTCAGCCCAGGTGTGAGCCCCACACTCAGCTTTACAGAGCCCCACGCTGGGCGTTACTGATCCCCACGCTGGGCTTTACTGAGCCCCACGCTGGGCTTTACTGAGCCCCACGCTGGGCTTTACTGAGCCCCACGCTGGGCTTTACTGATCCCCATGGTGGGCTTTACTGAGCCCCATGCTGGGCTTTACTGAGCCCCACGCTGGGCTTTACTGAGCCCACGTTGGGCTTTACTGAGCCAGCCAGAGCAGCCTGAGGCAGTTCCAAGTTCAAACCTCCTTCTGCCTGATCCTGGTTTAAACCCTGAGGGCAGAGTCCACTACTCCAGACCTTTATCTGAGCCTGGCTTAGGTTTGTTTGACCTTTCTCCCACAGCAGCCCAGACTCCCTTGGCTCCTGCTGAATGCTGGGCTTGGCTCCAGCAATGACTCCTGCTCCTTTGGATAATGAGTGTAAACTTTATTGCTCTCCCTTTGCAAGGCTGAGATCCCTCAGAGAAGAAGGGAATCCTTTGTTCTGGCTGATTGTCGGGAGATGTGTGAGCAGGATAAATCCTTTGGGACTTGGAGGGAACAGCAGAGGGAAAAGCCGGGCTGGGGGTGGCTGAGGGGCAGAAATGTGGGGCTCTTCAGGTGGATCAACATCCATGCCAAAGGAGTTGAGATCCTTCAGAGGTGTAGAGGGGAGTCTGTGGGGTGAAAGGAAATGTGGTGTGCCCTTTCAGGGTGTCTGTGCCCAGTTTCAGGCTGTTGTTAATACCTGTTTCAGGGTGTCAATACCAGTTTCAGGGTGTCAATACCAGTTTCAGGGTGTCAATACCTGTTTCAGGCTGTTGTTAATACCAGTTTCAGGGTGTCAATACCCGTTTCAGGGTGTCAATACCAGTTTCAGGGTGTCAATACCAGTTTCAGGGTGTCAATACCTGTTTCAGGGTGTCAATACCTGTTTCAGGGTGTTGTTAATACCGGTTTCAGGCTGTTGTTAATACTGGTTTCAGGGTGTCAATACCTGTTTCAGGCTGTTGTTAATACCAGTTTCAGGTTGTTAATACCAGTTTCAGGTTGTTAATACCTGTTTCAGGCTGTTGTTAATACCGGTTTCAGGCTGTTTTTGCTCTCCCACAGCTGTTCCAGAGGCCCAGTGCCCTGGCTGTGCAGCAGCTGATGGTGCCCAGTTTCAGGGTGTTGTTAATACCTGTTTCAGGGTGTCAATACCAGTTTCAGGGTGTCAATACCAGTTTCAGGGTGTCAATACCCGTTTCAGGCTGTTGTTAATACCAGTTTCAGGTTGTTAATACCGGTTTCAGGTTGTTAATACCGGTTTCAGGCTGTTTTTAATACCGGTTTCAGGTTGTTAATACCGGTTTCAGGCTGTTTTTTGCTCTCCCCACAGCTGTTCCAGAGGCCCAGTGCCCTGGCTGTGCAGCAGCTCACCGCAGCCCAGCAGCAGCAGTACGCCCTGGCCGCTGCCCACCAGCCACACATAGGTGAGTGCTCCCTTCCTCCTGCTCCAGGGCACAAAATCCACCCAGGAGCCTCTCAGGTGGATTTTACAAATGGTGATTAACCTGTGAGGAGGAATTGCTACTCCAGGTTTGCTCAGAGGTGTTTCTGGCACACTTTGGACAGCTCTGGAAGGAGCTCCCTGTGTGGCAATCTCACCCTGCTGAGGCTTTGTGAGTCTCTGAGCAAAGCACAAATCAGGGTAACAGCACACAGAAGGGAGGGGAAATGCACAATTTAATATCAGAATGGGGTTTTACAAGTAAAAAAATGTCATTTATGCAAGCACAGGGTTGATATTGATTAAAATCACTCATTAAATATATTTATTAATTGGATATAAAGCATTTAATCATGTGTAGAAAAACAGGAAAACTATAGGAGGGCAACTCCTGGGTGATTAAACCTAAATGTTTTTAGTACAATAAACAATTTGTGGTGGTTCTCCTTGCCCAGAACCCCAATAGAAAATCATTCATTAAATATATTGAATAAAAATAATTCATTACATATAAATTAATAAAAATCATTCATTAAATATATTTATTAACTGGATGTAAAGCACTTAATCATGTGTGGAAAACTATAGAAGGGCAACTCCTGGTGATTAAAGCTAAATGTTTTTAGCACAATAAACAATTTGTGATGGTTCTTCCTGCCCAGACCCCCAATAGAAAATCATTCATGAAATATATTTAATAAAAATAAATCATTAATATAAATTAATAAAAATCATTCATTAAATATATTTAATAAAAATTCATTAAATATAAATTAATAAAAATCACTCATTAAATATATTTATTAACTGGATGTAAAGCACTTAATCATGTGTGGAAAACTATAGGAGGGCAACTCCTGGGTGATTAAATGTAAATGTTTTTAGCACAATAAAGAATTTGTGGTGGTTCTTCCTGCCCAGAACCCCAATATAAACATGTTTGGGCTCTGGAGCTGTGTGCTCAGTGGAGTTCAGGGATTGAAATTACTCAGTTTTTAACTTCCTGCCCTTCACTTTCTCGCTCCCAGCTGGGCTTTCTGTGATGCTGAAACCTCTCCCTGCAGATTTGGGAATGGTTCCCACTCCTGAGCAGTTGGAACGCTGGGATGCTGAGCTGGGAACGGGCTTTTGGCTCCTCATTTACTCACTGGAGCAAGTGCAGAGTACTCACAAGCTCCAGATCCTGAACAGGGTCTGCTTGCCCTGCAGAAGCACCTGAGCTGTTGGATCTAAAGGATTTTATCCTCAAGGAGCATCAAATCCTTGGAATTGGGGGGTTTTTAATGCCAGATCTGTCTCCTGCCCATCAGCACTCACTGCTTGCTCCCTCCCTGTAGAAACCCACCTGGGGAAAGCAGAGAAGCAGGAGGGCAGGCTGACCTGGGTGCTGCACAGGGGGTGTGGCGGGGTTTTTCTCACTGACAGGAATGTTTCCAGCAGGTTTAGCTCCCGCTGCCTTCGTCCCCAACCCCTACATCATCAGCGCGGCGCCTCCGGGGACCGATCCCTACGCGGCCGGGCTGGCGGCAGCTGCCACGCTAGGTGAGCAATTGCAGCTCTCCCTGCCCTGCCCTGCCCTGCCCTGCCATGCCTGGGGGAGGGAATCAGCAGCACAGCAGCGTTCCTGGGGGGAGCATTGATGGAATGCTGTGGATGGGGGTGAAACCAGCATTTGGCATTGGAATGAGGTTGCTGAGGGAATTTGTGTCCCTGGGCGGGGAGGAGGTCCCGGAGCATTGGCAGCCCCGGCTCCGGGCACGGGAGGAAATTTGGGAATGGTACCTGTGCAGAGGTTCCTGAGCAGAGGTTCCTGAGCAGGGAGGTTCCTGAGCAGGGAGGTTCCTGAGCAGGGAGGTTCCTGAGCAGAGGTTCCTGAGCAGAGGTTCCTGAGCAGGGAGGTTCCTGAGCAGGGAGGTTCCTGAGCAGAGGTTCCTGAGCAGGGAGGTTCCTGAGCAGGGGTTTCTGAGCAGGGAGGTTCCTGAGCAGGGAGGTTCCTGAGCAGGGAGGTTCCTGAGCAGAGGTTCCTGAGCAGAGGTTCCTGAGCAGAGGTTCCTGAGCAGGGAGGTTCCTGAGCAGGGAGGTTCCTGAGCAGGAGGTTCCTGAGCAGGGAGGTTCCTGAGCAGAGGTTCCTGAGCAGGGAGGTTCCTGCTCAGCCTTTCTGCATCACCTCAGGGCCTCCAGAGCTGGTTTCTGGGCACCAGCAGAGTGCAGAGGAGCAGCAGGTCAGCAGCTTCATTTCCTGGAGAGACCACATGGAGCTGGGCCACCTTTCCAGGAAATACCAAGTGGTGGCCACAATTTTCCTTTTCTCTTTTTCTCTTTTTTTTCTCTTTTTCTCTTTTTTTTCTCTTTTTCTCTTTTTCTCTTTCTTTCTCTCTTTCTCCCTTTTCCCCCTTCCCCTTTCCCCCTTTCCTCTTTCCCTTTTTCCTTTCCTTTTTTTCCCTTTTTCTCAGCTCTGCTGCAGTTCCTGAGCTGTTGCAGCCTCTGAGCAGAAGCAAACCCCATCTAGGCTGTGCTTAACTCAGATTTTAGACATTTGAGCTGGAAGTAGCACCCCAGGGATACCTAAAGCATCCCAAAACTTGGCATCAGGGCCTCTACTTAAATAATTCTGTGTTTATGACTCTTAAAAGAAACAAAACAATGCCTAATGTGCTGGGTGTATTTCCAGTGTTACACCACTGAGAAACAGGAGTTATTTTAACCCTCTCATCGGGTTTTGGAGCCTAGAAACGACAAGACAAACTCCATGTCGATGTTTCTTTGAGAAAAGCAGCTTTTCTGTCTCATCCTGAGCAGTTTTGGGAACCCTTTGTTCCTGTCAGGACTGAGAGCAGCGCTGCAGGGACACGGGACAATTTCAGTTTATATAAAACAAAAAAAGCCTCCTCGATGTGCCTGGGAGTGTTAAATTGGGAGGATCAGAGAAGCTTCTGGGATGGAAGAAATGAGTTTGGGGTTATTGGGAGTTTATTGCTCAGTTACTCCCAGAGCAGAGAGGAAACTTTGGGGTGTGTTTTATGGCAGAGAAAATGTGTCAGTTAAAGTTCTGGCAGGTTTGTCATGATTGTGAGACTGGCAGCTCTGGGATAATTCCCTTCTCTTGCCAACAATAGCAGCATTTTAAAGAACAAATTTGAATGGAGAGGGAAGAACTTCCTAGAAAAAAAACCCTCATTTAGATTTTAAACTGTGGGGAAGATACTGCTGCCTTTGAGCTGCCTTCCATCATTCGAGAAAGATGTCACTCAAAAAACCAAAATCTTGCCTTTTTTAATGCCAGGTGGGAAATTATTCCCTCTGGGGTGGGGCGTTGTAGGTAGAAAATGTTCCTGTTCTTTGTGGAGAGCTGGATCCGTGCTGGGATAACCTGGATGCAGGAAAAGCAGAGGCTCCCACCCACAGCAGGTGCTGGGAGTTCCAGCCTGGTGGGAAATGATTCCAGCAGGAAAAGTCCTGGTTTAGTGGGGAAGTGGGTGAATTCTGGGATAACCAGTTGGGATAACCAGTGAGTGAATTCTGAGATAAGCAGTGGATGAAGTCTGGGATAACGTGCTGGGTTAACCAGTGGGTAAAGTCTGGGATAACCAGTGAGTGAATTCTGAGATAAGCAGTGGATGAAGTCTGGGATAACCTGCTGGGTTAACCAGTGAGTGAATTCTGGGATAACCAGTGGGTGAATTCTGGGATAACCAGTGGGTGAATTCTGGGATAACCAGCTGGGAAAACCAGTGGGTGAATGCTGGGATAAGCAGTGGATGAATTCTGGGATAACTGGATGGATGCTGGGATAACCAGCTGGGATAACCAATGGGTGAATTCTGAGATAACCAGTTGGGATAACCAATGGATGAATGTTGGGATAACCAATGGGTGAATAATACTGGGATAAGCAGTAGATGGATGCTGGGATAACCAGTTGGGATAAGCAGTGGATGGATGCTGGGATAACCAGCTGGGATAACCAGTGGATGGATGCTGGGATAAGCAGTGGATGGATGCTGGGATAACCAGCTGGGATAAGCAGTGGATGAATCCTGGGATAAGCAGTGGGTGGGTGCAGCACAGGGAATATTTGCTCTCAGGGGTGCTGGAAGGAGCAGCCAGCCGTGCTGGAGCAGGAGCAGCTGCAGCTCTCCTGCAAGGAGGGAGGGAAGGAAGGAAGGAGCAGCTCTGGGTGCTGCTGGGCTCTGGCAGTGATGCCACTCTTGCCCTCACTGAGAACTCTGTTCTGTAATGAGCCTCTCGCTCCTGTGCTCGGAGCAGCTGAGCCAGACTCGCAGCCCTTTTTAAGCCCAGCTGCCTGCAAACTTCAAAGCTGTTGCATCTCCTCTGCTTTTTACACCCAAGGCTTTGGCAGCAACCTCTGACTAGGAGAAAAACCCATCTAGGCTGTGCTCGGTTGATAATTAGAGCTGAGCCTAAAATATTCCAGAGATGCCCGAATTTTGCCCAGATGAAGGGGTTGCAGCAGCTTGCAGCAGCCTGAGGGCAAATGCAGGTTAATGACTTGCATTAAAAGGGAGCAACTGCAGCTCTTTCCCTGCTGGGTGCAGGAGAACCCCGGGAGTTGGGGTCTGATGTGCACTCAGTGATTATAAACAGGTTAAAATCGCTCCCTGCTTACCTGTCTGTGCCTGCTGAGGCACCACAGGCACCACCTTCGTGTGATTCATTTGCTGCAGTTTTTTTTCTATTTTAGCTCACGAATTTCCAGGTTGGAAGGGAAGAAATTAGCGGTTGCTGCTCCAGATCTGAGTAGGAAGCGGATCAGCATCTCTGATTCTGTAAATCCAGCAAGGATGGGCTTTGGGGTTGGATACAAATCCAGGTCTTCAGCATCTGCCTGGAATTAGCCAGCACCTCCCTTCTGGGCACCTAAATCCCAAATCTGGGGAAAGCACAGTGGTTAAAACCAGGATAATGCAAGGAGAGAACTTTTACAGGTTTGAAATACGAGTTTAATATTTGGCACAAGAATGGAATGAATATCCTAAAGTGTGGATGTGGGAGCAGGAGCTCATCCAGGTCCTTGGCATTCTGCAGGAGTTCAGCTGAGCCTGTTAGTGAAAAATAAACCAGGAAGAAAGGAACAAAAACCAGAAGGAAAAGGGACTTGCAGGATTTTCCTCCTTTGTCACAGCCAGGCTAACACTGAGCACTCAGCACTGTGTTTGCACATCCCTTTTTATGTCATCCCTCATTTGCCATGGAATCACAGACCTGGGCAGAACCCAAGTACTGAGTGTCTCTAAAAAGAAATCCCTGGTTTTACTCCAGACATGACCAAGATTCCCTAAAGATTTGTTTATTCCAGTGTCACACCTGGCTCTGCCTGAGTTATTCCCACTGTGGGGAGGGAGCCCTTGGAAGGGGTGATGGATTTGGGAATCAAAGGGAACCAGCTGACCTTTCCTAAAGATACCAAACATTCATAATAAAAAATATTCTTGGATTCCCATCTGTGTTATTTGGTGGGAAGGGCTCCTCCCTCCAGCACTGAGAGCTCCCTTAGCGTTATTCCAGCTGGGATTATTGAGGGAGAGAGGCTGCCATGCTGCCATCTCCAAATTCCTCTGCTGTCCTGAGACCTGATAAACATGAGGAATCTTCAAAAGTGAGGCTTTTTCTGCTGCTCTCCAAGGTTATTATTATTATTTTTCAGCCTCTGTAAGTTGGAGGAGGGAAGGTGAGGTTTGTGAGGGAATGTGGGAAGGGACAGGACCCTGCAGCCTCTTTTAGGGGAGATTTGCAAAGCAGGGCTGGAAAAAGAACATTTTAACACCTGAGAGTTGATGCACTCGAGCTGTGCAGAGGGTTTGGTGATTTATTGAGGAGCTGAGGGTGGATGGATGATGGATGGATGGATGATGGATGGATGGATGATGGATGATTGATGGATGATGGATGGATGGATGATGGATGGATGGATGATGGATGGATGATGGATGGATGGATGGATGGATGGATGATGATGGATGGATGATGGATGATGGATGGATGATGGATGGATGGATGATGGATGGATGGATGGATGATGGATGATGGATGGATGGATGGATGGATGGATGGATGATGGATGGATGATGGATGATGGATGGATGATGGATGGATGATGGATGATGGATGGATGGATGATGGATGATGGATGGATGATGGATGGATGGATGATGGATGGATGGATGGATGGATGGATGATGGATGGATGGATGGATGGATGATGGATGGATGGATGATGGATGATGGATGGATGATGGATGATGGATGGATGGATGGATGGATGGATGATGGATGGATGGATGGATGGATGGATGATGGATGGATGATGGATGGTTGGATGGATGGATGGATGATGGATGGATGATGATGGATGATGATGGATGGATGATGGATGGATGGATGATGATGGATGGATGGATGATGGATGGATGGCAGCAAGCTGTGAATTTCGGCTGGGGTGAGAAGTTGCTCTCTGTGGGTGAATGAAAGAAGGTTCCTCTGTTTGGGTTGGGGGTTTCTGTGCCTCCCCTGTACGAGCAGGGCACACCAATAAAACCATGAGGTCACTGCTGGCAGAGTGACCTCCCACAGTGACAAAATTCCAGACTGGGATCTCCACGGAATGTACTCCACCCTTGCCAAACCCCCGCGTTGGCAGAGGGTTGCAGGGGAGTGCGCGGCAGCGCCGAGCGGGGATTTCAGGGTACCCCTGGCCCCCCAGGAGCTGACACTGCCCCTGCTGTGTTCCAGGCCCGGCTGTGGTGCCTCACCAGTACTATGGAGTCACTCCCTGGGGAGTTTATCCCGCCAGCCTCTTCCAGCAGCAAGCGGCCGCCGCCGCCGCCGCCACCAACTCTGCCAACCAGCAAACCACGCAGCAAACCCAGCAGGGCCAGCAGCAGGTAAGGGCTGCCGGCTTCCCGGGCCAGGGAATGTCCTGAGCTGGAAATGAACCCCCAGGAATCGTGGATTCCAAGCCCTGGCCCTGCACTGACCCCCAGCAATCCCACCCTGTGCACCCCTGGCAGCCTCGGGGCCGTCCCCATCCCCATCCCTGTTCCCTCTGGGGGAAAGGAGCAGGGAGAATTTCTTCCCCAAAAGGGTGATTGGAAAATGTAATGGATTGTCCATTGGAGTCCCCGTTCCTGGAGGTGGGTAAGGAAAGCCTGGATGTGTCACTTTGTCACTCGGTGCCACGGTCTGGGTGTCAGGTGGTGGCAGGTCAAAGGTTGGACTTGGTGATCTGACAGGTCTTTTCCAGCCCAGCTGATTGTGTGTTAAACCCAGCCTAAACCTCCCCTGTGGCAGCTCCAGCCACGCTGAATTACCCTGCTGTGTTCTGTGGCTGATCCTGACCTCAGCTCTGAGTGGTTCTAAATGAGGACAAAACCTCTCCTAAAAACAAAGGGACCAGAGCCATCTGTAGATCTGTGATTGGATTTATCCTTGGTGCACATGGACGTGGCGAGTTAGGGAGTGTCAGTGCTTGGGAAAACACCAATGGATCAGCTTGGGAATGGCCTGAGCTGTGCAGCAGCACTGCTGTGGTGCTCTTGGAGTGTGAGGGGCAATCACCAGGACCCGAGCTGGGCTGCAGTCCCCACAGCAGCTCCTGGCTGATGGAGGTGGCAGAATAAAAGAGCAGAAGCTGAAAACCCTTTGAAGACCAAAGCCCAGTGTCAGGAGGTGTTCTGAGGCCTTTACAGATGCAGCAGGCGTGAGCTGAGAGAGCTGCAGCAAAGGCTCAGGCTATCAAAATAAAATATCTGCGTGCCAGTGGCCTTTATGGGATGTTCATTACTGTTATGGCCGTGGAGCAGGTGTGAGCGGGGTGGGGAGCAGGGTTTGGAATGCAAACCCCGCTCCTGGGGGCTGCAGCAGGGATTGTTTGCATTAAAACTGCTGAGGCAGAGGCTTTGGGAACCTGGACACCTGATTTGTGACCCTTGTGACACCTTAATAAGGTGTTAATAAAACCCAGCAGCGTTCCAGTGCTGGAATTGCTGGAATTGCTGGCTCCCAGAGGTGCCCTGGGCTGGTTCCTGTGCAGGCTCTGGCAGAGAACCTCGGGGTCCTTCCCAGCCTCTCCGTGCACAAAGTCTGCTTTTGCTGTTAGTGGCTGGAGCAGGTGACAGCCACGGTGTCCCCTGTGCTGCAGGGTGTGCTGGGGACACACAGGCTGAGCTTGCAGGCTCCTGCAGCAGCTCTGGCTCTGACAAAGCCAGCCTGTCCCAGGGGATTGCACTCTGGCCACTCTGCCCTCCTCCCACCACAGCAGCTCGTCCCTGCCAACCCCACCTGGGCTCTCTGGGCACCATCTCCTGTGCTTTAAGGCTTGTGTCACCAGGTCTCTGCTCCCCACAGGGGCTGGTGGCCTGGGGACAGCCAGGTCACCTCCTGCCACCCACCCCCAGCTCCTGAGCTGGGCTCTGTAAGGTTTCTGCTCAGGAGGGTTTTTAGTGGGGCTGTGGTGACAGGGAGCAGATGTTAGCTGGGGTGGTTTGTGCACACTCCTGGCAGAGGATGAGTGTTGGAGGTGGGATCAGGGAATTGGAAAGGTTGGAGAAGCTCTCTAAGGACCATGGAGTCCAAGCATGACCCCAGCACTGCCCTGGGCAGCTGATTCCAAATCCTGACCACCCTGGCAGGAAATCAGGAGATTCCTGCTGCTGTCTCCCCTGAGCTCCCCTGGCCCAGCCTGAGGCCGTTCCCTCTCCTCCTGTCCCTGTTCCTGGCAGCAGAGCCCGACCCCCCCGGCTGTCCCCTCCTGCCAGGGACTTGTGCAGAGCCAGAAATTCCCCCTGAGCCTCCTTTGCTCCAGCCTGAGCCCCTTCCCAGCTCCCTCAGCAATTCTCCAGCCCTCTCCCAGCTCCCTCAGGGATTCTCCAGCCCCTTCCCAGCTCCGTTCCCTGCTTTGGACTTGCTCCAGCCCCTCCAGGTCCTGTTTGAATGTGAAGAAAAGTGAATTAAGAGCAAAGGAGAGAAGGTTTCCCCCCTGGTGCTGCTCCTGCCCCTGTCTGGTGACGGTGGCTGTGTCCTGGCTCCCAGAATAACCCAGTGGCTGTTCTGTCCTCTCCAGGTGCTCCGTGGAGGAGCCAGCCAGCGTCCCCTGACTCCCAACCAGAACCAGCAGGGCCAGCAGACGGATCCTCTGGTGGCTGCCGCCGCCGTCAACTCCGCGCTCGCCTTCGGCCAGGGGCTGGCAGCAGGAATGCCAGGTAGCAGCATTGCCAGGAGAGCCTGGGAACGGGATTTGGCTGGCATCAGTCAGCACTGCCTGCTGGTCTGGGGGTTAATCCCAGGGCTGGGTGTGTGACTCGATCTTCTCGAGTGGCCCGGCTGGCTCAGGGATGAGGTTTCTCTTCACTCGGGTTCCAGCCAGCAGATGTTGGTGGGGTTCACTGATTTTCTCCAGTAAAGAAATCAGGGGGAACTCTCTCTCTCTCTCTGGTTTGCATTCCACAGTTTATTTCTGTGAAGGGGAATCCAAAGGACGAGAGACCAAGGATTTGGGGTCTGGGGGTCTCTTTTAACAGGGATTTTTGGAGGGAGGGAACATCAGAGAAAGAACCAATTTATTTCTCAGTTAGTGCATCTTACAAACTTTCTACAAATCAAGGTTAGCCACACCAAGAGAAGAAATAACAGACACCAACTTCTTCAAATGCCCACAAAGGTGTAGGAGTGTTCTCCACAGAGGGGCAGAGAGGGGTGAGGCTGCTTTCCTGGCAGCACAGGGGGGAAGGGAAGGGAAGGGAAGGGAAGGGCAGCAAATCCTCTCAGCTTCCATAGCTCAGAGACGTTCTGGGACAGGGAAAACAGAGTTACAAACTTCCATGTTGGAAAGAAGGGTCTCCTGGGCTAAAGAAAGTTCCAGCAGCTGGAAATGCCAGCAGGGTCCTCTCTTTACTCCATCCGTGGGGCTGAGGAGAGAAACTTCAGTGACCATGGGAACCTGACACCAGGTAAACAGGAGAAAGAGAAGCTGGGGGAAATCACAACTAAAAGATGGGAAAAGATACATTTCAGGCTATCAGCTCCAACAGGTGTGTCCCTGGCTGGCAGCACTGGGGCTGGCAGGTGGCCTTGTGGCACAGGTGACAGCAGTGCCACCTCCCCATGGGGGCTGCACTGTTCTCCAAGAATCGATGGCTGCTGTGGAAGATCACCTCCAGGCTTCTCTGTGGGCTGTTCAAGCTTGTGGCATCTGAGTTTTGAACCTCAGGGGTTTCTTAGTCCTGTTCATTCTCCTCAGCTCTCCATCCCTGCTGGACTTAACAGGGGCTTCCTGCCATGATTGCTCTTCCAAGAGGCTTAAAAAGAGGGAAAGAAAAGGGATAAAAGGGAGCAGGCTTTAATTCTCATTTCCAGCTCATCATTGGAGGAGCTGCTGGAGGAATTCTGACTCTGATCCCTGAGGATCTGGGGTAAAATGCTGCTGAAATTCAGTTATTCCGAATATTACTGTGATGGCAAAGGACAAACCTGAGCTCATTAGAATAATGTGCAGAAATGTCTTGCTGGTGAAAAGGAAGGGAAAAGGATTATTTGGATTTCAGCTCTCCTTGCTGGCAGTGTCACTTCCTTGTTAATGGGGTTTTTTTGTTGTTTAAGAAGAATTTACAGTGTTAAGTTACAAACTGTGCAGATCTCCTTTAATCTCTGTTATTTGGGTTGTATTTGCTTTGCAAACACACACATATATACAATTACAGGTGTGTGTTTGTAGCTGTATTTGCAAAGCAAATATTCATTTAGTGACCTCCCACCTTAGAGAGTCACTGCATTTAATTTTAATATTTTCATTTAATGTACAATTCCATAATGAGGTGCCTAAATCACTATATTCTGTCAGTCTGCACTTACAAGAGTTTATTTACCTGAATTGAAGAATATTTAATGAATTAAATTATTATTATTATAAATAAAAATATTAATATATAAATATTATTAAAGAATATTTAATGGCACCAACGTTCCAAAATGCAGAAGTGGAAGTTGCCTGTGGGTGCACCCAGCTCTGAGCAATCCCAGCACACATTGGATTTCTCACGGTGCTTTTGTATTTTAAACCTGTTTTTAGCTGAATTTACACTGCTGACAGTGTGATAATAAAGATTCTGGGGGCAAAAAGTCTTTTCTACTTGAAATTCTTCATGTAAAATCGTGGACTTTTTTGGGAAAAGCAGGGCTGTTCTTGCTTCTTTTATTTACATTCATCTTTTCCTGTGGAAGCCCTCATGCCCTGGGCTCAGGTGGATGTGAGTGATGTGTTTGTCACCTGCTGTCACCTGTGCTTGCCTCTGCAGGTTACCCAGTGCTGGCTCCTGCTGCTTACTACGACCAAACCGGAGCCCTCGTGGTCAATGCTGGGGCCAGGAACGGCCTGGGGGCTCCTGTGCGCCTGGTGGCCCCTGCCCCTGTCATCATCAGCTCCTCTGCAGCCCAGGCAGGTGAGTCCTGGCACCAGGCAGGTCAGTCCTGTCCCCAGGCAGGTGAATCCTGTCCCCTCCTGCCCAGGCAGGTCAGTCCTGTCCTGTCCCCTCCTGCCCAGGCAGGTCAGTCCTGTCCCCAGGCAGGTGAATCCTGTCCCCTCCTGCCCAGGCAGGTCAGTCCTGTCCCCACCAGAGGTTCAGGCAGGTGAATCCTGTCCCCTTGAGTCCTGTCCCCATGAGTCGTGTCCCCTGCAGCCCAGGCAGGTGAATCCTGTCCCCAGGCAGGTGAATCCTGTCCCCTGCAGCCCAGGCAGGTCAGTCCTGTCCCCAGGCAGGTCAGTCCTGTCCCCCCCAGAGGTTCTGGCAGATGAATCCTGTCCCCTTGAGTCCTGTCCCCTTGAGTCCTGTCCCCTTGAGTCCTGTCCCCTTGAGTCCTGTCCCCATGAGTCGTGTCCCCTGCAGCCCAGGCAGGTCAGTCCTGTCCTGTCCCCCCCAGAGGTTCAGGCAGGAGCCTTCTGGTCCCTCCCAGTCCCTGCTGTGTCCCCAGTGTCCCCAGCCCTCCGTGCTCCGCTGGCAGTGATGACAAACTTGCCCTCACTGAGATCCATCAGGGATTGTTGTTGAGAAACATCCTCTGTGCTCAACTTGGCTGAGCCTCCGGAGCCGCCACGGAGAGGGGAGGAGCAGGAAATTGAAATATTTTGTAGAGTTTTGTTGTAGGTACTGAAATTTGTCCCCTGGCAGCAGCTTGCCCACCTGCTGGAGCCTTCAGAATTCCCAGGGGCTCCAGGGAGAGCTCAGAGCCCCCTCCAGGGCCTGCAGGGGCTCCAGGAGAGCTGGAGAGGGGCTGGGGACAAGGCCTGCAGGGACAGGACCCAGGGAATGGCTTGAGATTGGAAAAGGGGAGATTGGGGTGGGATCTTGGGCAGGAATTGTTCCCTGGG